TTGTCCTTAAAGATTGAATCCAGGGCAATTCTCTCATTCTAAGTTGGTGCGGTATCCTTGCCCTTGCCATGTTCTTGGATTTGTAGAACATTTTCATCATGCTGTGTCATTAAAATGTCTCAGCCAAGAATCCTGGAGCCTTCTAGAACTGATGGTACTCCTGTGTTCACACATCCAAATCCGGGTAGGTAGACAATCATAGCATGGTTTAACTGCATCAGCACACTCTTTTCTAGGGAAGTCCCTTCGCCATTGTCCCAGTTTAGCCATGTACATCTGGGCTGGCAGAAGACTTTCCTGCCCTGTCCTCCTCATGGCAGTCCCTCCACAAGACACACAAGTGGTCAAGAAACCTTCCACATGGAATAAGCTGCCCTTGCAAATTAGACCAAGGTAACTTCTATGAGCAGGATGGATGGCAGATCCTTGATCCAGCCTGATGGGTCTTGTTGGTGGAGCCAAGCAGTGCTTCTGGTTGGCTAAAGCAAATCTCACAAGACCTGGAAAACATGAAACTTTCAGGGAAATACATTTCCAGAAGTATCCTTAACCATGATCTCCAATTTAAGCATTTTCCTCATCCTACTTATATGGTTTCAGCTTGCCCTCTGGATGTCTGAACCCTGGGACAGTAAATTCTTCTCTAGGCTTTGGCCCCATGACCTCTAATTAGTATGCAGAAGTTCCCTTGTGCAGATCCTGGTTTTTCCAGTCAAAAGGATCTCAGCATAGTGGTGAGTGACTGCATGACCTCAGAGAACTGCAGCTATTTCAAGCAGACAGTGCTGAAGCGTGAACTGGTGTACCAAAGCACCAACAGGGAAGTTCCACCAGAAAGGAGCTTCGATGACCTAAATCTTTCTTGCACCCACTGGTTTTGCCTTTGTCAGAATACATTTTTCCATGCTCATGCTGCAGCCTTTCTCCTTGATACTTTTATAATACAGCCATAACTAGAAACTAGAACTAAGCCAAAATTCATCAATTTTTCATAAGCGTTTTTGCCACAGCCAGCCCAATGCACCTCCTTTTCAGCAATTTTTCCAGCATTATTGTCAGACATGAATATTTATTTACTCTGCTGTTGCTCTGTATTCCTTTCATTTGTCTTCAGTGACATCATCATGTAGCCATAGCTCATTGATCCCTAACACTTTGACACTGAAGGATGAAAAAGTCACCACACCAGTATCTACCTGAACTAAATAGGAGTTTAAAAGTGAAAAAGTACTCAAAGGGTTTGTACAAATGCCTCCTCTATTAGACTTTACCAAACTCCAAACTGCACAATGTCTGCTTGAATCATAGACAACAGCTTTGTTATCATGCTTTTTCAAACACAAAAATAATTACGTATTCCAAAGGATCCAGAATGGTGCCAACATGCAATCCAATCTGTGATGGGATATTTCTCCAGTACCGCAACCTGTTCTTTCTGTAGAATCTTCTGGGGTGAGGGGGTAGAAGGAAAGAGGGGGTGGGCATCACTACAATCATGCCTACATCCACTCCATTTCGATCTGTTTCTGTTTGACTACTAAAGATAAAGATTCATACTCAGTGTTAAGTTGACCTTTGTTTGCTAAACCAGAGCCAGTCCCGCCATTACACAGAGTGACCCGTCTGTCTCAGGAGAAGATGCTGAGGGATGCAGATCAGAGGACAGTTAGGTGGCTGAGCCCAGATATGGTAGAAGATGCTGTCACTGTCAGATCCATTGCTCACTCAGCTTCTGCACCTGAAATATGTCCCTCTAAGTGCCATCTTGCCTGTCGCCTCTTGGGCTAACTCTGGCCTGGAACTTTTGTTACAGTTCTAGATGCTTTCTTCCTACAATGAATTATTTCCAACCAAGTTTACAAAGATTGAAGATTTTAAAATGTTAGTCTTATGCAAGTTCTAGTGCCCCTTGGGGGAAGTTATGCATTTTATGCAAAGGAGGCTGTAAAGGAACTGTTTCCAAAAGCACTTACTATGCTGCCATTTATCCTGTCACTTCTTTAAGCCAATCCCTCTCTTTGAATGGTAATTAGATGGCTCTGATAGTAATCTGCAGAAAATACTCACTGGTAGTCTTCTGGATGACTATCGCTGGCAGTTTTATTACTAATTTGGAGTTGCCACTGGGCCTGTCATGTAATTAAGTTACTAATGGAGTGTCTTGGCTGAACTGCTCTCTTTTGTTATTTTTTCCCCTCCCCCATCCATTCATTTTATGAAATTTTTTGTATGGGTCCTACTAGCAATCACTCACCAACCTTTCCCATTATTACTTTTCAACATCACACACTTTGGTGGACAATCAAAGGCATCCCTGGGTAGAGATTATGATATTTACATAGTGCTCTAATTAATGTAATGATCACACCTGCTTTAAGATAACATTTATTACCTATTCTAAAGACTCACCAAAATGTAGTGGAAGTACACTGTGCAGGATGTACACACACACACACGTACCCGCACAATTTTAATCCTACACTACATTACCACAAAAAGCAGTTTTGCTACAAAAGAACAACTGGAGTTGGTTGACTTGAAGCCTTTATACACATCCCAAAACCATTTTGAGATCCTTAAGGCTTCATTTCTAATGTGTCATCATATGTGACCAGAGTAGATTAAGCTCTAATCCTACATGCATTTGTCTTGGAATCCAGTGGAGCTTACTTTTCAACAGCCAGGTATAGGATTGTGCTGTAAATATGGCAGCCAAACACCTGGAAGGAATCATATGGACCTTCTCACCTGGCCAACATCTGATGCATATCATAGCCTCATGGAATAGCATCATGCGGAAAAGAAGGTTTCACTAGAAATAGAAAGGCGCTGCCTCACAAGGTTACAATCATAAATTGCTCAAGTTAAATAGTGGTAACACTGAACCTGCTCTGGGGAAAATCAAAATTTCTTCCTTTGAAAATCAAGATGGTGCATATTTTCCGCTGTGAAGAATGTCATACTTTGAATGAGGATATCTGAGGTATCCAAACTGTTGTTGTGCCCAAAATTTGGGGACAATCAGGACTGTTCAAAAATAACATGGAACAATCCACAGTTGTTATTGAAATAAAAATGGAAAGGCATTGCACAATTTAGTGGTGCAACAGCATGGCCTTCTGGGTCCTTCTGGCCTTTCTTTTTGACATTTTTGGACAAGAAAAATGTTTTTTCTAATGATACATATACCAGATATCAATGTTTGTGACATTGTGAGTTGCTTAGTCATAGCTGCAAAAAGGTATTCCAACCATATAAACAGTTGCCTGAACTTTTATCAGAGATGAGGCCTTCTTGGTGGTGACCCCATCAAATGGAGCTGCCTTTTGATTTATGATTTCTGCATGGCCATACAGTACATCCTTCCCATGAAGATTTGGATGGCTTTTGTAATTCATAGGACTTTTCTGCTTAGTAACTATACAGCTATCTAATGTGCCTAACCGTATCTTGAGATTTTCTTCCTTAGAGATCACCCAGGCGATGGGACAACATACAAATATAATAAATAAATAAATAAATAAATAAAATATGACATCTTGTGAGGATATGATGCTACATAGTGCCTGATATATCTTTTTAATAAATTATCTTGACACCATGTGAAACAGCTCAGTGATTGGTTGTTTGAATGGAGAACTTTGTTGAAAGGTTGCCCATTGCTGTGTGGCCAACAGGCAGCCAATCAGCTATTTGCATGGGAGCAGTTGTGAGCAACATTCCTACAATAGAGACAGTGTGGCATGGTGCTGAGGGTGTGGGCCTAGGCTCTAGTCCCCTCTCAGCCATGACTTTGGGCTAGTCCCTCACTCTCAGTCTAACCTATATCACACGATGTTTGTTACACCCACCTGTGAAAGCCACCTTGGGCTGTTCACAAGAGGGAAAAAGTGGGATATAAATGTAATATGATAGTAACATCGCACAGTGTGGCTGTAAAAGTAAACTGATCACCTCTTGCAATAAAGACTCTTAAGCAAGAGCCCAGTTCACTGAAACAGCAACTCAGTCAAGTTGTACAGACAGAGACAATGTAAATATTCTTCTTGTCCCTGTTTGTGTGGTCCATTATCTCAAACCTGCAAATACACACTCAGATAATGCAGTAATATTTAGGGAAATCTTTGGGAATGTATTTCATAGTCCTCCTCACAGTACTACTAGACATACTTTCATGTTAAGGGGTGAGGGACAATTCAGTGAGGGGAAAACTACCTGAGGGAATGCCTCTCTCAGCCACAATGCACCCAGACACAACACAGGTTTCTTTCAAGGGAGACTTGATTGGTAGCAAACAAGAAGCAAGGCCTTCTCTGTGATAACCTCCAAACTAAGGAATGATCTCATTAAGGCCAACTTTGTTATCTTTTTGGCTGCATGTTAAGACTGTCGTCTTTGCTGAAACATTTACTAATGTCAAATAGCACATTCAGGTGAGGTTTTGCCAGTTGTCTTTAGCAGGCCTAGCAATATGGACTGGTTTTAGTAGCTTAAATTGTTAAAACATGGTTTAAATATTTGAGAGTAATTTCATTTTATATTATGTTTCTTGCATATATCAACTGTTATTCACTATGCAGAGAGCTTCAATGACTGGGAGGTATAGCATGAATCAATTAAATAAACAGATAAATCAATCAATGTAAAGGCTATTGAGGAGGGGCTCAAGAAGTTATTCTTCTCAATGAGAAAATGTTAGCAGCTCCGAGAAGGATGTCACGAGCTGAAGTTGTGATATATATTTCATCCTGATTGACGATGTTTCCTTTGATAAGATTTGTAGATGTATGCTCCTAAAGTGATGAAGGGACACACTTCTGGGAAGCCAGATAAAATATACACATTGAAGTTCTGAGCTTGCTGTAGGTTAATGTTACAGTAGGTAATGTTTATCATTTGTAAAACGTGGCTGCCACCTGGGGGTATCATTGACGATTTCCAGATACCTGTTTTCATCTGTCTGAGTTGAGCATTTACTGTTTCCCATTGTTCTCTTTTAGAAACATCCTTTACAGACTGGATGAAAGGACATACCAATTTTCAGTACTGCTAGAGGCGGTGGAACACTGCAAGCTACATCAGTCAAATGAGACTCTCCCAGCCACCTTGTCAAAAGTGCTCAACAGCTTCAATTCAGCTCAGGTTTATTTCAAAGCAGGACTCGATGTCTTTGAGGCTGGCTTAGTGGGAAGCCAATGAGGAAACGGTTGCTTTTGTGCATGTGTGCAAGTGCAAGAGTGCACACACCTGATCAAGAACTTTGTTTACATTTTGCAAAGGAAAACTTGGGAGTTGGACCAGAAAGGCTGTAGGGTTGAAAGGCTTCTCTTGTTTTCAACTCTTTCAAATAATGGGGCGGGATGGGAAGAGTCTTTTTTTCAAGGCGCAGGCACCATCTTGTAGGTTTAGATTAATCTAAAGCAGACTTTTGCACTGTCAACAATTTATTGTGTATTTCTATTTTGAAAGTGCATATATAGAAGTACACAGATTGTGTACGTGTAGCTGTACAGAACAAGAGTGAGGCTTAGAAGCCCACAGAAGTGAAGATCCTGCATTTTTAGCCCCTAGATTGCTGGATGCGTTCCTCCTGCAGGAGACTTCTGCATTTCTATGTAGCACTTCCCAGAACACTTCACTAGAGGAGCTGCTGTGGGAAATGGCATCTCCATGGTGAATACAATTAATATCCTGGCTCTCTGCTTCTAAATTGGGAGAGTTGTAGGTGCATCCCAACTTTTCCCATTAGAGACAGGACTCTTACCAGCATACATCCAGAGACCAATGGCTTTGGGCCTCCATGTGTCACAGGTAGGGACATGCTGCACTAAGAGTTGCACTAAGGGAGATGGTGACATTTGGAGGCAATAGGAATGCACATGTTTAATGAAGTAGTATTATGTATGATTAGGTCCCTGAGGTGCTCACCAGAAATGTTAACATGCTTACTGATGGAGAGGTGGCAGCTTCCAGGCATGATCACTCCCAATATGTAAGTTGATAAGATGGCTGATATATGTGCAAACAATATTCTCTGTGCCTATCCAAAGATCATTCAAATTGCAAGCACCTCCTGGGAGCTAGATTTGCCTGGTGTTGCAACTGTACATTCAGATTTGAAATTTTACAACTGAAATCAAAAGCGGAATCTGTGTGAGATATGGTCTAGCTATAGTGCTCCTTTCACAGCTTGTGGTAGACCGACAGAAGAGGTAGAAGAACCAAAAGAAAGATGTCTGCTGGCTTTCTCTCTTGAAAGACAAAACCACTGAGAGAAGATCTGAGGAGTTGCTTAACATGTAATTCTGGGTAAGACCTTAAATGCAGTCTTACTGAATCTAAATTAGGGCTTATGATTTCTTTTTTCTTTCAAATGTTGACCATGGCTGACATATTTCTTACCTGGAAGTTTTAGAAATGGATGGCTGCTTAACTGCACATGATGGAGGGGATTCATTGATCTTTGATTTAATTTTCAGGAGCATACCTTTCAGGGCACATCCAGGGGTCTCTTCAGGGGTCTCTTCTGCAGCCTACTAAGTGCCTTAATTCCCCCTCAAGTTGTCTCATCACACACACTCCAGATGATGGTCTTCTACCAAGAAAAGCAAAAACAAACCTGGCTATGAATCAAGCTCCCATTATGGTTCCCACTGAGATTCTATACTGGGATGGTGCAATGCCAATTACCCAGTGCTTTTCTCCATCCAAAATTTCCCTGCTGGTTTTGCTGGGCTGTATGAAGAGGGATGGGTGGATGCTAGTGCCCAATTCCTGCTTGTGTTTCTGATGGCTACTGGCTCTGCAGAAAGTGGAAATTGTCCTCCAAATGTGCACAGATTTTATTTGTGCGCCTTTACTCACTAGACTAGAATGAGGCTGTTTCCGTCTAAAGGGAAATGTGTGATGTACAGAAGATCAAACTGGGAAAGTTGTGCTTGCTAAATATGAGCAGACATGCAGCAGTCTGAGAATACCTTCAACCTCGTTCTCATATTCAAGGCTTTGGAGAGGGCCTGCTCCCACGTTTTGCAAGCAAAACCAAAATTCTCTTAAATTTGTAAGAATATTTTAAGGGAAGGTCACTGCAACTGTTTGGGGACAGATGCCATATTGTGTTCTGCCTTTTGCTCCAGCAAACACTCTGGGAGATGTGCTTACGCTGAAGGTTAGGTTAAGCAACAAAGGGATATTCCATGCAGTGTGCATTGTTAGTATTAGTCCATTAAAAAAGAGAGAAAACAGCTCATTGGCCATATCTCATTTGAGGAGAGGAATTTAAGGGAAATGGAAGCCCAGCTTAATTCTATGAAGTTTTCTAGTGAGGAGAGCTAGGCTAAATGTGTGGCTTGCAAACCGAGTACAGAAAAATGCTTATTCTTAAGTGTCTGCCCCTTTTTTGTTTCTGCTGCCAACACTTTTTGGGTCTGGCTGTGCTCCCTTCTTTGCTTCTAGCCCTGCTTGTGTGTAGACCCTGAGAGCCCCCCCCCCCCCCCGTGACATATGGCATTGAACCCAAGGCTTGTTTTAAGGGAGAGTTTTGGAGCACCTGTTTTGATAAAGTCTTCCCAATTTTGGGATGCTCAATGCATATCTGAGACTGAAATGTTGTATTTTTCAGAATGTAGCAAGTATAGTATGATACCAGAAATGCCATCTTTCTAGCTTATTTTGATATCCTCAGATTAATAATTAGTACAATTTTAGAGCCACAAAATCGAGATAGGTCCATCTCTTTGTCTGCTTTGCATTCAGAATATTAAATATGCACAGCTGTTGATTGTGGATTGAAACAAGCTACCAACATGGAAGTACAAGTTAAATCAACTGGTGCCTCCATGAAAGTTCAGGCCAGTGGTCACCTTGTAATCTCCACATGCACCTGAGTAGGGAAGGACAGCTTGTCATGTATGAACCATCCCCATGAGTCATCCCTTAAACCCAGTGCAGTCTTTGAACTAGTAAATCTGCTGTTGATGGCAAAACTACATGGTGAACCTGACGTTAAAAAAGCTCCCACCCAATAGTCTAGGAAAGCTGGAAGGTGAAGGCACAGGGGGATTAGGTGGCTGAGATAGGAGAATGGAAAAACCAGCCAACCAGTCAGTCAAAAGCATTGCCTTTTCATTTAATAAAACTTGTAAGAACATCTAGGGCCAATCAGGGAGAGAGAGGCAGCCACTTCTGGTGCAGATGCTGGGACTGGGAAGAGGGAGCAAGTTCTTGGAGGATAGTGCCATGGCTCCCATACAGCCTTCCTCCATTCCTGAAACTAGCCTGCTTCCTTCTGGTGAATTAGAAGACCACACCAGTGACCACCTGCCAGTGATCAGCTTCTGTGCCTGAGTGGGAAAGGGTGCCATCTTGTCCTGTGCCTCTGACAACAATGGTCTTGAACTGACCCTGAGAAAACCCCTCTAGAAACCCTGAGAAACTCCCTCAATAACATTTCCTGTACTGTGGAAAAGTTGAAGAGCCTGAATGTGTTGCAAGGTTCTAAGGTTCTATGGAAAGTCCTGTCTGTAATGGCTGATGTTCTAAAATAACTGGTGATCATGCATATGTGAATTCACCCACCCAAATGGAGAGCAGCCAAACTGAAAGAAGCACTGGGAGAGAATTGGAGAGACCAGTGGCAGAAAACTCCTTTCTTGAGCATGAGTGTGCTAAGTGACTTCTCACAGATCGTATTTAATCCTTCACAAAAGGTCACTGTGTGCTGCACTGTAAAATTGATTGCTACCTGCAAGTTCTCAGAAGCTCCATAGGAATTTTGCCAAGATTGATAACAGAAGGCCCTGAACAAATAGCTACCTTCTGTATTTAATAGAGAAGAGTGACTGATAACTGGATTAGCCACAGCATCAATGCAAAGGCCAGTATTAAAGTATAGGGTTGGTTTTTCCTCTCTCCCAGTCCGAGAAGCTCATCCATTCATTCACTGACTACCTTATACCCTCCAGGTCATCTTTGCCTCACTACTAGCCTCACATTTAGAGTTTCCTGGTGACTAGCATTATGTTTTCTGGTTTTTTCTGTTGTTTGGCAAGCCTTCAATGTCCAGTTCATTCCATATACATTCCATAGACAACATTTCCAGTTTCAATTCATGTCAGCAAGTGAACCAGCACACACACACACACACACACACACACAAACATGTATATACATATATAAAAGTTATATACCACCCCAATAGCCCAGAGGGCTCTCTGGGTGGTTTACAAACATTAAAACTCCACCAATCCTAAACAAATAAATAAATTGGCTACATCATGATTGAGTAAAAAATAACACGGTTAGAATGATTAAATAAATAAATATACCATTCAAAATAACTTTAAAATATTGGTTAAATAAAAAGGTCATGACCTGGCACCAAAAAGCATATAATGACGGTAACAGGTGGACCTCTCTAGGGAGCGCATTCCATAGCTGGGGGACCACCGCAGAGAAAGCTCTCATCCGAGTACTCTGTCTCCTGACCTCTTTCAAAGAGGGTTCCTGGAGGAGAGCCTCTGCTGCCAATCTTAGGGGGTGGGAGAGCATATAGGGAAAATGGTGTTCCTTTAGGTATCCTGGTCCCAAGCAGTTTAGGGCTTTATAGGTAATAACCAGCACCTTGAATTGAGCCTGGACTTCAATGGGAAGCCAATGGAGCTGATAAAGGACTGGAGTTATGTGAGAATAACAACCAGTCCCCGACAGCATCCTGGCAGCTCTATTTTGCACCATCTGAAGTAACTGAACCATCTTCAAGGCCAGCCCCACATAGAGTGCATTACAGTAGTCCAAACGGGAGGTAACCAGTGCATATGTCACTGTTGCTAGGCAGTTCTCCTCCAGGTAAGGACGCAGCTGATGGATCAGCTGGAACTGAAGGAAAGCATTCCTCGCCACCGCTGTCACCTGGGCTTCCAGGGACAGTTCCAGTTCCTAAGCTGTGGATCCTGTCCTTTAGAGGGAGTGCAACCCCATCCAGGGCAGGGCCCAGGTCACTCACCCGGAAACTCAAATCACCTACCAACAGGACCTCTGTCTTATCTGGATTGAGCTTCCGTTTATTGGCCCTCATCCAGCCCATCACCTCAGCCAGGCACTGGTTCAGGACAGCCACTGCCTCACCTGGATTAGTTGAAAAGGAGAGTTAGAGCTGGGTGTCATCAGCATACTGATGACTCCGCAGCCCAAACCTCCTG